AGCTGGAAATTAATGGAAGTTTAAAAACTAATAGACAGATGTTTCATTGTAATGTAAAACTTCTCAGAACCATAAATAGATTTAGGCTATATTCAATATAATGAGCTCACGAATACCTTTCAACTAATGGTTTCAGTTCATTACAGTTTGATGGGACGATGTGATTATTTAACTTGAGTAGTCTTATGTTAAAGCTACACTACCTGATGACTTCCTAGCCTGCCCAATTATAAGCTGATGACCCGGCTATCCTGTTTCTTCGATACAACTGGGGAATAGATAAAATATTACACAACAGATTTAAATTTAAACGGGAAGTTATTGAAACGGTAACAAGAACAGTAGGCGATTGAGCTACCACAAGTACCTTTATGTGCCACCGATTAATTATTCAATGTAAACTATCATTGATCCTGGCAAGTTGAGATGAGCAGTTAAATATCTACTGACTATTTTTCCAAGAATGAACTAACTTTGGAATGACGGGTTAGTTTGGATAGGATTCTGTATTATTTTACTGACTCTACACAGACATTTATAATTCTATCTAGAACGGGACCAAGGAACTTTCGATTCTTTCTGTAAACATATTACCTTCATATCAATTAGTTTTAATATACAACCGAGTTTAGTTAGCTCACATTGCGGCCTAATCATCAGTCTATTCCGTTACACAGAGAGGAAATGTCTCACTTCAATCATTAATAAAATTTTAATGAGGAACCTTAGAAGTTCATCATGTAACAAATATGCATGTACATACATATGCACAAAACGTTTGGGAACTTGATAATGAATGTAATAAATTCATTCTTTTCTGTACATTCATCTTTATGTAATATGTGTTCAAAACACTAATCCACAAAGATATCACTACTACCACTCACGCTACTATTAATAATAATAATATACAAATGTAATGGTTAAGCAGTTAGTTTCAACTCTTTTAATCATAAACAAATTAACTAATTTGTTTCTGTTACACTCCTCTTTGCATTCTTTTATTTTGTTTGTGAACTATACCGCATGATATAATAATAATAATAAGGAATACTATTGTATGAAAACGTTTCTTATTTATGATTATATACATATATTTATCACATTTGAGGTATCAATCGTTGATTCACGGAGTTTTTTTTGTTTTTCGACAGTGTTGCCAATACATGTATGCACACACATACACTAATATTCACATGGATCACTCAAACTATCTTCTATTCAATTTAGACACAATATTCATAATATTTCCACGATTTATATATTTATTTATCCATTCATTTTCTATATTATTCTATAGTTTATGGGTTCAACAGACTAATATGTTCACAACTACATTGTTATTTGTTTGAATACATCAAATTAGATTATTATTATTATGATAATAATAGTAATAATAATTACTATTATTATCACTACTAGTAATTGGATCCAACTATTAGTTTGAATGTTTTAACGAATTCACCCATTTACAGTTGACTGATGGTTTCTCGATTTTGTTTTCATAAATATTGTAATTTAATGCCACATATATATGAATATGTTACGTTTGTGTGTGTGTGTGTGTAAGTGTTATGTCCATTACATTTCCTTCTATAATCATGTTTACGATTATAATTAAAAAAATAGACGTTATTACTGTTATTAGTAGTATATATATATATATGGTATAATAATGAAATATAACTTTCGATCAAATTGGCAATTAAATTAGTGTGAATTAACAAAATAAATAAGCGAAATATCATCAAACGAATCATGCGAAAAAATTTTTTTATGGAAACAATCAAATTAAGAATAGGTCAGTGAAAATACATTTTGCTTTGAAGTTGACGCAAACATATATCTATAATGATTGAGGGTGAAAAAAGATCTGCTTGAGCTAACTTTCACCATTATCAAAATCCTTGGAGGTTGATACATCTTGGTCAACTAGAATCCAAGTTGCTCAGTTTCACACCCTAAGGTACTACCATTGTTAGATTTAGGGATCAATTGAGCTCCTTTAGCATGGAGATATTTACAACTGATTGATTACTGGGTAGTGTTGAATATCATGCTTAGACAGTCTTGCTGGCTACTGGCAATCCCTTAGTGTCAAAATTCAGTGTATATATATATATATATATATATATAGTGATGCCCTTCAAAATTTTATTCCTTACTAGTTACATAACGAGTGACTAACGGATCAATCGTGTGTGAATGTATTTATAACTTTTCATTTTGCTCCTATGGGGCTAACGATTATTTTCATTTTCTTTAATGGTGAAAATAAACACCTATCTCTTCGCCTTCAGCTGTTGAATAATTTCATATGTCCTCATGTACCCATAACACCCATAGGATTCATATGAGTTTCTCAAGACAACTATATAAGTTTGACATCATTTTTTTTTGAAAAATGGCTATAGACTTATTCATGAAAAGCTTTCTGTTCGCTTTTTTAAAGAGATTCAAACATGATAATATTCACACTCACTGATCCACAGATAGACATATAATGGGTTGAAGTTTGGTAACTTATAGAGTTTCACTGTAAAACTAGAAAATACCAAGTTTATAATAAGAAAAAATCTATTTGACTATTTATTCAATAATAGTAATAATGTAATAGCGATATTATTCGTTTTTATTTGTTTCTAATTTTTGCTTCTTTTGTGGTGTGTGTGTGTGTGAGAGAGAGAGAGGTGTTTGACGAGGCTGGGACGGAATATATTCTCACCTTTTCAGATAAAAAGAAAGGAGTAATAAATAAATAAATATATAAATAACATTTTCATTTTCACTCTCCCATACAAAAACGCACACACACACACATTTGGTATAAAAACCGGCGATCCGGTTTTGATAAATTGTAACAACAAGATGTGAACTCCAGACAAACTGAAAGAATAAAAGGAACAATGCACAAACCATTTGATTATTTGTGTGTATATTCCAAAATAGTAAATGACTTGACTTTTTGGATAACGGTTGGTAAAAAAAACTATGATATCTCATAGGTATACACTGCCTATATACATATAAGCACAAAAAGTAGTCCATTATACTACTGATTATGGTTATAATTAGTATCTGTCAAATGATATGAGTATGCTTGTGTTTTGATGGGTTTTACTGCTTTATTTTTTGTATAATTATTCTTATGATTATTGTTGATATTTTTGGCTGAAAACTAGTTAAGACAACAACACAGAAAACGAATAGAGAAAAACGCAAGGAAAAAGCTACAAATATTCACATTTCACTTAACAGGTGCTTGAGATTTATAAGGAAAAAAATGGTGTCTAAGTGTGAGAAAAAAATCAGAAAGGAAACAGGTAGGCACCCAAACACCTACACACACACACACGTCCGCACATGAAATACAATAATAATTCCAATAATAAGTGATCTATCACTAACACAACAACGAAGAACAAAAGAAACGTACAAAAAAACATCGAGAAAAGAAGAAACCGAAAAGAGAAAAAAATCTCTGTGAACCTCTTTCCGACTACCTTTATTTATTTTATTTCGTTAGTTTGTTACACTCTAATCAACTTTACATACGCACAGATGAAATCTGAAAAAGACAAATATACACAAATCATCATTGGATTTATCCTAATTGAATTGATAAATATTAATGTGTAAACACAGATAAATAAATAACTTATTTATTAATTTTTTCTTGAGGGGGGGGGAGAACACAAAATAGATAAATATTTGTTTAATAATGTTATAACAAGTGTAACTAGGCATAGTGATCAAACGAATATACATGGATACGTATTCGCCAAAATAATAAATTGATTGATTAAGTGTTTTGTTTATTTATTTATTTTTTTGTTCTAGTCAAAAAAAGGTCGAAAATGAACTACAAAATTATGAATAAATGAATATTTTTTGTTTATCAATATGTTTAAGTGTACAGATAATAATGATGATAATAATAGTAATAATACAGGAGAATTTCATCGGAAAATAAACATGAAAATAATCCATCCTATTATATGCAAAGATGGATAGTGACGAGTAGTGGAATCAAGTTTAACAGGTGCCACATCGTCCTATTTAAGACTTGTCAACTGGATGTACCTGTATCTTAGAGTTGATGTTCACTCTAGAACTCGAACTCAGTACTGTCCGTTTCAAACATCATCGCATTATCCATTTAGCTACTGATCAATTCCAGTCTTAAACATCAATGGGAAGATTCAAGCAAACAATATCAAGTGAATTTAACCCGTCTTATTACTCAGATGTTAGATAAAAAGCTACTAGGTATATATATATATATATATATATATATATATATATATATATATATTATGGATAAGTCAATTAGCATTTGAAAGTGGCGGTTTGGTGACTCGTATACAACAACAGTGTTAACAGTATAAATAAGGATTGTATTATGAGTTCGTTGACTAAAATCAAGTTTCCAGTAGCATTGTGAAGTGGTAATAGCATGTTGTTAGAATATTGTTTTATAGAGATGAACTTATTTACATAGGGAATAAGTTATGTATGTGTGTGTATCTTAACGGTACCAGTCAATAAGGAATAATTCTTTTTTGAGTTAGTTTAAAGTGAATAATTTATCAAAACGAAAAACTGTAAATCGTAGGCATGTTTGGGTTTTATAGAAGTTTAAATTTGCATTTAAAACAGTGTTGTACAACTGTCTCGTTTTAGTTTGCAAATGTATTTCGTATCGAACTGAGAACTTCCTGGTACCACTACTACCGTGCTGTCTTTCTAGACTATTGAGTTAGCATTCAGTCAATCAATGGGAAACAATCGACTTAGATTGTGACAGAAATGTACTACAGTTCAAATGACTGTATCACTTCAGCATCATGCAATAAAATTAAGAAGTTGTGATTGACATTACTATTCACTAATTTATATTTCCAATCTTAGTTCATACGCGATACTGTTTCATTTTCAACACAGCTGAACTCTGCTGGTCGAGTTGAAAATTCATCTGGGATCTACTCATTAGTGAGCATATGGTTAGTTTAGATAAAGAATAGAGAGAATTTGTGGAAATATCTATTGAAGAGTCATTCATATTAGTTTATCACATAACCCGATAGGTTAGATCTACTTATCAACTTGTTATATACACTAATGGATGCCAAATCAACAGTCTGAAATTTAACAACTTATCAAATCATCCAACGATTCAGAATTCTTTTTTTGATTGAGATCATGGACCGATTGATGTTAGACCAGCTTTGGAAACCTAGAAGCACTGGACGGCCGTTTCGTCCTATTGTGGGACTCCTCAGCAGTGCACATCCACAAGCCCGCTCGCGAGATTCCAACCCAGGGCCTTCGGTCTCGCGCGCGAACGCTTAACCTACTTGACCACTGAGCCGGCATCCAACGGTGACAGTGTCTAACATCAACCAATCCATGAAACTGCGCGACCAACTTCCATTGTACTGAGGTAGATACCCGTCTCTACCCGACATGGATTAGCTCCACTGATCATGGCTTCGATCTCAGGTTAAGGTATGAATGTGTACTAATGAAGAGTTCTACACCTGAACAAAACAGGTGTTAACTACTGATTGGTTTTCAATGTGTGCTTTCTTCCCAAATAACTCTAATCTAAACTGGAAAATTCATCATTTTCTAATGTTGGTTGTGTAAACATTAATAATTTATTTGTTTCTTCTATCTTCTAGAATATAATCATTGAAACCATTGAACCATTTATTAAAGACAATATAGACAATCAAACTACATCAAATGTATCCATTCAAAATCCTTCTAGTAAATTATCCATATTGAATAATGATTTACAGAATACTTCAATGACTTCATCAACAATTAATCATTTTTCTCCAACAATAACATTATCACATAATGATAATAAAGTATTAAATTATTCTAATCTAATGAATATTGTACAAAATCAATCATTTAATCCAATCAAATGTTTTTATAATAATATAGAACAAATATATGAAAGTAAACAACAACAACAACAACAACATCAACAATCACCATCATCTCAACATTCACATTTTCATTATCAACAAGATGATCAGAAAGTATCACAAATTATTGATTTCACACCATTTGTAGATCCAAAACATTATGATACAAATTTATTAGATTTCAATCAGATTAATAATTATAATCATAATCCTTTTGGTAATGATACAATTCTATCAGGCTTGCACTTAACATCATCATCATCACCATCATCATCATCATTATCATCATTACAACAAACACCAGTGAATTGCATTACAGGGATTAATTCAACAAGTCAATGGATGTTTTCACATAATCATTCATTAATACAATGTTTTGTTTGTCGTCAGCCTATAATAAATACCAGTGGAAATGATGATGGGATTGGTAGTGGTAATAATGTAATTGAAAATCTTGTCAAACATTTAACAATTACACATATGTTACCATTGCCAATTGTTATGAATTATGTAATAGCATATATGACTGAGAAATTCACTGAATATAACCCGATTGATATAAGAAATAAAGTTAATAATAATGATAATTCTATTATTGAGTCTATAACAACATCACATACTACTGTCAATACAAATGATACTACTGTTACTACTAAAAATAGTCTAAATACACAAAAGTTTGTAAATAAATTAAATATTGATCCATCATGGAGTAATGTTTATAGTAGTGAGAATGATTTACCTTTTAATATACCGAATGTCTTGTACAAAGATTGTAAATTAAATCAATGTGAAGCTGAGAATTTGGAAAATTTCTCTTTAAAAGGTAAAAACATGTGTGTTTTATCAGAAGGGGTTTGTGGAGATTTTAGAAACTTCACAGATTGAAATCATGAGTCAATTGAAGCTAGACAACTATGGAAAACCTGGAAGCACTGGACGGCCGTTTCGTCCAAGTATGGGACTCTTCAGCAGTGCGCATGATTCGTTTAATCTATAGGTTACATATGTGAAAACTAGAGAGCACCAAATATCTGTTCCTTTCTAGAATGGAACTCCTTAGCAATGTTTACCTATGACCCTACGAGGGACCAAACTCGGGACAAATTTAACTATTACTCGTTAAGGTACAATAATCTGTCTAAATTCATGGGTACATTTGATTAGTCTCTGTTGGTATAATGGCTCCTCAAACAAGTTCATTAATTTTTTTCATCCCCGATACCTGTTTCGTCCTATTCAATGTTCACCAGCTGGATATAACATAAAAACACTAATCACTGAGCTAATTCAGACTTTTTAAAAATAACTTACAAATTGATATGTATACACAATTTAATCATAAATCAGAGTTTGGACGCTTAGAACTAAATAATATCTTTGACTGTTCAGCCACAGTAGATTATGTAGAAAAAAACACACCTTGTTATTGTCCTTGTATGGGACTTCTTAACAATGTGCACACACTGTCTTGCACACAGAACTCGAACCCAAGACCTTCGGTTTCGTGCACGAACGCTTAATCCCCAGACCATTGAACCTGCATCTAACGGTGTTAATGTCTAACTTTAATCGATACATAGTTTCGCTCAACCCTTCATTAAACGGCAATTTAGTGTTTCCAGGTTTTCATTGGTGGTCTAGCTTAGATGGACTCATAAATTCAACTGTTAAAATTACTACAATCTCCACAAATCCTCATCCTGATAATTTCATTTTTTGTTGATAAAACTCTTCATTGTTAATTCTTTCATTGTTGATCCAGTCATTTTCTTCTTTATGTGTATACCGTATGATTGTGTATACATATATGCACTTGTGTGTGCTTATTGTTGTATAACCTTTTATGTAATAATATAGGAAGGGGCCATAAAATATAGCTATTCAGCATGCTAACAATGCAAATATGCAAAATGGAATAGAAAATAAATCCCATTCATATTGTGGTCTATTATAAGACAACTCGGTTAACTAACATGTAATATAACGCTGCTGAATATAACCATTGTAAGCTAGTATGTACGTGCTTCTGTGAATAGAAATCGGGAAGTAAATAAGAGAGCGAACAAGATAACGCACCAGAGAACAAGGTAGACAAAGAGGAAGGGAAAAATGAACCAAAAATGATAAATCAGTTTCATTAACTATTGTCCGAAACTAGTTTCACAGTATTTGTTTATCCTCAATACAACAATACTACTATTAATGTTACCACTAACACTAATCATAATAATAGTAGTGATTATTATTATTATTATTATATGCATGTTTATTCCGTTTTGAACAAAGCTCAATGGTTCATTCCCTATACTTCCATATCCTTTTATGTATATATTATACTTAAAAACAGATTATATACGTATAATGGGCTAAAATGATCCCTTCTATGTATGTCTATATGTTTCCATAAATTGTTAAATGAAATATTTAATTATTTAGACAGTTACTGTGTGATTTTCAATTCACGAAATACAAACATTTTGTAACTAAAAGGTCTCTCTCTCTCTCTCTATATATATATATATATATAACGTAATTTTAAACGGATCCCACGCTTGTTATGTACACAAAAGTGTATAGACGTGTGCTTACATGTTTATCTATGATGTATTATATGTATAATGGCTCCAAGAAAAAGAAATATACCTTTTCACAAAACAACATGATATTTGGAATATCTAATGAAGAAAAAAAACCCCACAATTAATAACTTTATTAGTGAAAATAGTTCTTAATACAAGCATTTTATTATAACGATAAATATATTTATTACAAGCTTCGTTTATGAAAGTTCATTATAACTGGAGCAGTAGAAGGCTTTTGAAAAACACGGAGTATATAGAAAGAGTAATAAAGTATAGGTGAGTGAAAGACAATTGGGTTGATATTTACTGTCAATTAATACTATGTCAAAGCACTAGCTTGGAGGTGGAGTGTGATAGACAATATTTCTGAATATAGTAATTAATAGTAGTTTGTAGTTCAACAACATGGAGCAATTTTGATTTAATAATCATTGACAATCAAGAGACACTAGACAAATATTTCGTCCTAAGATATGAAACTTCTGTACAGTACACATCCTTGATACTACTGAAGATAAAACTTAGGATCTTTAGACTCCCAGTAGAATACTTAACATTCGACCCGTCGAACTGACACAAGATCATTTAAATTTCTAGTTTTAGTCAATTCGCGATGTTGAGCGATCACCATCTAATGATGACACTTATCTGATTTATACGGTTCGATTGATTACGTAATAGTGTTTATAAGAATACCTTTGTTTTTCTGTTTTTCAGTTCCATTACATATAAAACCACCGCCACCACAATCACAACCACTTCCATTGACAGCAGTCATACAACCATCATCGGGCACTGGATATGATCTTCACGAACATGTTAACAAAAATTGTTGGATATGTCCACAATGTAATATACAGTTTAATAATTTTCAACAATTTCATTTACATTTTACACAAAATCATAATTCATTATTATCAGATCCGAATTTGTTCAATTTCACTGAAGGCAATTTATTCAATAATAATAATAATAGTACTAGTAATAATAATAATAATAATAGTAACAGTTCAAATTCATTATTATCACCACAAGTGTTATTGTCAGCGATTCAACCGAAATCGATTAACACAGCAATGATCAATCGTTCATTGGCTACTGGAAATAATAATAGTACCGAAAATATATCCCTGATGCCTGTAATTAATGAGGTATTGAATGATTGTAGTGAGTGGTTAAGAAATTATAATCAAACTCATAAAAATACAAATGAATTCAATTTATTAACTAATACATCTATGGTTCAAACAAATTTCGCAGCATTGGCAGCCGCTACAGTAGCTGCATATGGATGTTTGCCTGGATCAAAAAAATATGAACAATTACATAATACAACATCAATGAATGAGTTTGATTCGAATCTCTTCAGTTTATCGACTTCAAATGAAATGATGAATACTATTAGTTCACCTATTGAAATATTAAACAGTACTTCTATGATTACTACATCTACCCCTTGTAATCTTAGTACTACTAGTAGCATCAACAGTAGCATTTGTAGTAGTATTAGTAGTAGTACTGATATGACTATGAGAAACATTCGAAGTCAAATGAATATAAACGAACAGAAGAGAAGATTGAATGAATCCCTACATGCATGTAAACCATATTTGTCCGAAGCGAAACGCACAAAATGTGAAGAGAATGAAAACCATAATATTGAAGTAATTGGATTGACTAGTCAAAAACAAGGTAGGTTATTGATTGTTTTCTTCACTGATTATGATTACTATCGATTCTTTACCAATGTTAATAAAATCTGGTTTTGACTATTAGTGAATTCATGGATACACGTTTCGTCCCAAATGAGACCCGTCATCCGGTTATACCTGCCATATTTCAGTGTTTCTTTTGATATTAAAACTCGAACACTGTAGCTAGTTCTCTAGGATGCCTATATGTCAAAAGAGAGTGAGTAAATTTACCTTGTAATATCGACAACAAGAAGATACAAACTCTTGCAAACAAAATTCATACCCATCAGGAGTTTTGTGGATATTTGAGATCATGAGTCAATTGAAGTTAGACCACCTTGGAAAACTTGGAAGCACTGGACGGCCGTTTCGTCCTAGTATGAAACTCCTCAGCAGTGCGCATCCACGATTACGCCTCTCGCGATTAGTTGAAGTTTGACATTAACACAATTGGTTGCCGGCTCAGTTGTCTAATGGTTAAGCGCTTGCGCGCAAGACTGATAGGTCCTGGGTTCGAATCTCGCGTGACAGGATCGTGGATGTGCACTATTCAGGTGTCCCACAATAGGACGAAATGGCCATCCAGTGCTTCCAGGTTTTCCATGGTTGTCTAGCTTCAATTAATTCATGATTTCAACTAGTGAAATTTCTAAAAATCTCCACAAAACCCCCTCTGACAATAATTTATTCTATGTTATATTACATATTCATTACATATGTACCTCACATATAACAAAAAAGAGAATGTGACGTCAAAAGATAAATATAATTAGCCTCTATTCATTCTATTTTTCATTTATTCACTATTTTTTTATATCATAATTATTCCAAAAATTTTTTAAAAAAAGAAAAAAAAGAAAAAAACGAAAAGAAAAAAATTAAATAAAAATAAAAAAAAGCGAAATATGAAAACTTAATTCGACACAATATACATTTATCATTTCTTTCTTTCTGTGTGTTTGTGTGTGTGTGTGTGTGCATGACAATTTATCATGTTAATAAATAAATTTTATGATTACCTCCCAGCAGGTTAGTATTATAATGATAATAATAATGATTATTTTGATGTCCTTATATATAACACAAATGTTTATACATGAATGTGGTTACTTTTCTAATATTTTTGGCGTCAATTTCATGTGTCTACGCACACGCACACATGTACACACACGTACACATACATCTTAATATCATAAATATCAAGAAATTATAAATGATCTCATCAATTTTGATACCCATTCTGGTTTCAGTTATACATTCATTCACACAGTAGGTGTACAATTTATTTTTCTTTTGTTGTTGTTGTTGTTGGTTATATCAATTCATTGATAAAATGACAATTAGAAAGATATAATGAGAGAGAGAGAGAGTGAATGAGTGTGTGTGTGTGTGTAAAAGAGCCGATGGATGAATGAGACATTATAAAACACCATATATATATCATGTATATCACAATAAATAAAGTAATTTATTGATTTAATTCAATTAAACAATAACTGATAGACAAGTCATGGTAGTGTTTATCCGGATGATAATATGGAATTATTAATGGTTGTAAATTCAATGTAATGATTGAATCACTTTAATGTATTATTATTATTATATTAACATATACACGTATTCTTTTGATAAGTTATAATGATTTTATATGATCCATTTTCCACTATTGATTATTGAAGTAATGTTGCTAATAGCTATTAGTAGAGAGGATGGATGATACTGAGAGAGAGAGAGAGAGACAGAAAACACAATAATAGTAGTATTGGAAATTTTTTACAAAACAGTTTACATCACCTGCTATCTCCGTCAAATATGAACATAAATGATAATGATAATATGCCCACCGATATTCATCATGATTGAAATGGATTTATTAACATTCGATTAAGGAACTTATGGAATTGTCCATTTTAAAAGTAAAGTAATTATTCATCTATGATATGTGAAGATAATTATTTCACTGAATTTTAATTTATTGGCTTAAAGTTATCGTACTTATTCTCAATATATAACGTTAAATATAATCCAATATAGGAAATTTAATGGAAAGTCATAAACCATTGGACAAAATTCTATGAAGTGATGCCTATGTCTCTTGAGCGGTATGTGATAAACATTTGGCTGATCAGTCGTAACTATTATTAAGTGTAATCATTTAAGTGACTACTAAAATGACCATGTAGAATTTTTTAATTCCCTTCAACCAATAAAAAAAGGATTATGTGAGTGAATGATATGTAATACTTAAACGAAGGTATTTACACGACAAATGAATTTATACAAATATTCGATAAATTCTTTGATCTTTATTGTGATATGTAATGTCTGAGAGTTGATACTCTTGTGTGTGCTACTTATATTGACATAAGTAGTATATTATGTTAGTCGTGAACAGAAGGTCTGGTAGCAGAGAAACAAGAGGATCGAACAGTAAAGAATGGAAACAGAATGCAATTTGTATGAAAATGCAGGAACAATGAAGTGTGAGTCATTTTGGGACAATCGATGGACATTTTGCAAATTAAGCATCTACTTTATGATTGTTAGATTTTACTAACAAGTCCTGTAATTTCGTGTTAAATACATTCGATTGTCCCCACTCGTGTTCTGTTCACTACAATACTAATACATACTCTTTCAAAAACACGAGCTCTGATATTCGACAGAAAAGATAGAACAGGAGGAGGGAAGTTTATATAACTAAATCGAATCATATATATGTGTACTCAATCCTAAGTTCGAAAAAAACCCCGTAATAAATGTACTCATTCATATGACTAAATAACATTCTTTCAAGGGAGCTTTTGTATGACGAATTAGGTTTTAGAGAGACCTCATATTATCGACAGTTACTGAGAATTGCACATCTATGACTTTTTCAAGGACAGAACGCAGGATGTTCAAGTCTAACAGCGAGGGTTTAACCAGTGGTACAGATTTTGGACAACGTAATATACTGAGAAGATCATAATATAATAATGAATGTTTCACATCGCTGGTCATAATTTCTTGATAAGGTTTCAAGAATTAATTTCAAAATCAGCTTACATTTACAGTTTAGAAAGGATTTTCCCTACAGATTATTCGGATCTATAAAGTTCTATATAAGTACTAAATGTTGTTGTTGCTACCTTGACGTGGTGGTCGGGCTTGCCTATCATGATAAACCAATTGAGCCATACTGGTTGGAACAATCGTTTCAACTAAAAGCAGCAAACCGAAGGTCTGAGGGCGAAATCGTACTGCTGACTGTACAGAGGTGTAATGGTAGTAAGGTGTTTCCTTCGGACAACCATCATAACAGCGATGCTGCTTTCCCACAAGGAGGGGTGGGGTTAGAAAAGGTCGACCCTAGAAATGCACACCTTGCCTTATGCCACGGATAACCCTTTCCGGTGGTAAGGTCTCAACAAGTACGAATCTAACACAAAAAATTACCCACAAAAATATCGTGTTTGGCCGACCTCAAGCAGTTGGCTTTGGGCATGGTGGTCACTCTCTCAAGTCACTAAGACCACCTTCAATCTAATTTCCTTTTCAAGTACCTCCAGGAGAACCCTTCCACGGTGTGTGCAACCGGGAAATGATAACCACCCTCATACCTCTAATAGCATTCTCGACCACTGACTGATGAAACAGCTATCCAGTGCTTGTTTTTATTTTAGTTTTTTCTTTCTCATCATAAAATCTGAATTCATCTAACATCCTATTAATAATTGCTTTTAATGATTAAGTAAATATTTAAACACTACAACTGTTTCTAATTGAATATATTTCCTACTTTATTTGTTTCTTTCAAATCTGTTCAATAAACATGGAATAATTCTTAGATTAGTTTAATACATCTTCATTCATTATAGAATGAACTATTATTAACGACCACCCATTAGATAATTCATTATGAATTATTCACTAAGAAAAAAGATTTATTTATAATCATTACAGGATAATAATAGTAATAATCTTTATTATGAATATCTAAAGAAAGACAATAAACAAACAGTGAAATTGTTGAATAGACAGAATCGTTCAATATTCAATAATGAATTGTTTATTTATTTATTTAATTATTATTGAAACCTTTTAGTAGATTTAAACTAAATATCAAAATGTGACATTGTCATTGGATAAATAGAAAGCACAAATTATTATTATTATTATTATTATTACTATTATTATTATTAATATTATTATTATTGTATTATGTCTTTCATGATCAGTAGTGCAAATACCATAAATGGTTACATTTAAAGTTAGTGTGTTATAGAGCATTTATAAATCAGTATAAACCTTTTATTTTATGTATGTATCAGTATATATCAGTCTGTAATTGTGTTTGTGTATAGGATTTGACTTGCCTCATTCTCTCCCAACTGTCCCCAAAGATGGATATATACATACTGAAGTGTATATTTCTATATATATGATATGTACGATAGTGATGTACACCATTTGGTTAACTATTAGGCATGTTTCATTGTTAAATTAAACACAGTAATACTAACAGTAATAATACTACCGACACTAATATTATATTGTGTGCAACTGATGCTGACAGATTTAAGTAGTATGTATCACCAAACGAAAGTGAAATGCCTGGAAGCGCAAGGTTGAGAAAATCGAGACGAAGAGAACAAGAACAGAGAGTGATTGGTATGGATTCGAAGGGACAACAAAATCCGAGACAAACGATGGATATTTTGCAAATGAAATATTTACTGTATGGTTCTCAGATTCTACCAAAATGTTCGGTAATGTTGTATTGAAATACATTTGGTTGTCCCCACTGATATTAACCAACATATGCTCACTGGTGACTGGATTCAAGAGATATTCACTGGAGTTCTAGTGAGAAGCAGTGACCAGTGCAGTTCAAGCGGGTCTGTTGTGAGTCAGTAAATCACCGAAGACAATTGTGGATGTGTCGCTCAATTTCGTGGATTAGTTGAAGTTAAATATTAACACTGTTGGATGCTGGCTGGTTCAGTGGTCTAGGGTCTAAGTGTTCGTACGCAAGACCGATAGGTCTTGGGTTCGAATCTCGCGAGACGAGACCGTGGACGCGCACTTCTGATGTGTCCCACAATAGGGTGAAACGGCCGTCCAGTGCTTCCATGTTTTCCATGATGATCAAGCTTCAATCGATTCATGATCTCATCTATTAAAATATTTTGAATTCTTAGATTAGGTGAAAATAAAACACGAGCTTATTGATTATAGAGTATAACACCTTATTGATCTGTTTCGAATTATTCAATTATAATTAATGATTGCTATACAATTTGTGTTTGTAATTTGTTGCAGAGATTTTTTAAAAAGAGGAAATTTTTTTTATTTGATGATAATGATCTTTGCGTTGATAATGCTTTTAGTGATGATGATGATGATGATGATGATGATGATGATGATGATGATGATGATGATGATGATGATGATGATGATGATGATGATGATGATGATGATGATGATGATGATGATGATGATGATGATGATGATGATGATGATGATGATGATGATGATGATGATGATGATGATGATGATGATGATGATGATGATGATGATGATGATGATGATGATGATGATGATGATGATGATGATGATGATGATGATGATGATGATGATGATGATGATGATGATGATGATGATGATGATGATGATGATGATGATGATGATGATGATGATGATGATGATGATGATGATGATGATGATGATGATGATGATGATGATGATGATGATGATGATGATGATGATGATGATGATGATGATGATGATGATGATGATGATGATGATGATGATGATGATGATGATGATGATGATGATGATGATGATGATGATGATGATGATGATGATGATGATGATGATGATGATGATGATGATGATGATGATGATGATGATGATGATGATGATGATGATGATGATGATGATGATGATGATGATGATGATGATGATGATGATGATGATGATGATGATGATGATGATGATGATGATGATGATGATGATGATGATGATGATGATGATGATGATGATGATGATGATGATGATGATGATGATGATGATGATGATGATGATGATGATGATGATGATGATGATGATGATGATGATGATGATGATGATGATGATGATGATGATGATGATGATGATGATGATGATGATAATTGTAACTCAGGAAAGAAAAAACCTAAAATTAAATTCTCAGTGTATCTTAGAAAAACTTGGAAGTTTCAGTGAATTAGTTGAAGGGGTTTTTGTAGAGATTAGTATAATTTGTAAATTGTCTTCATCAGTTGAAATCGATCTAAGACGAAAAGGACCCATAAATTGATCTAGTCTCCACCGATACCTTACAACTGTACTAGTATTCAGCTGAATAGTGATTTACTTCATGACTCTCTTAAAGTCCTAGTGTGATGTTGTGATTTGCAATGCTGAAATATGTTGAGAGTGAAACAGTTTGGACTGGTGGTACTGGACGATAGTCGCTCCATATCTCAAAGTTGAATAAATTTGAGATTATTTCACCTGGAGTGGACCTATTGGTCCTAATTATCATGGATTCACCAAAAGACCTGAACACACTAGATTCAAGCCCTGATGAGGTTGCGGGTGCGCACAACCAAGCACATAATGATTTATTTTTAATACAGAGGTTAAATATGTTCTTAGTGGTAGCTGGTTTTTGATGTTTATCTATCCCAATTTAGTCTGTGATGGGAAACTATGAAACTCACTAATCGCTTAATTACGTAAAAATTATCGATGTACTCCCTATGTTCTACTTGTTCTCCAGTCAGTGTTTACCTATTTCCTCATCGTTAAGATCAAACAAACTGTTTATCCACAAACTATGGATGCGCACTGCTGAGCAGTCCCACACTAGGACTAAACGGTCGTCCAGTGCTGCCAGGTTTTCCATGATGGTCTAACTTCAGTTGACTCATGAATTCAGCCATAAAATTAATAAAATCTCCACAAAACCGCTTCTGATAATAAATATAATTGTAGACGAACAACATCATATCACAGATGATAGTGTTTTTATATTTCTCAATATGATAAATAAATAAAAATTGGCCAGAAGTATTATAAGCAAGTGTTAAGAATGTAGATTTTATTATCTCCACTTTATTTCTTTTCAACTGACTTACTATCTGGTTGTTTTGTGCTTTCACTCATTTACTGTCCTATTCATTTGGACAAATGCATACGCGTGTACATACACAAAAACTATTCAATTATCAAAACAGGGTGGTCAATGGATAATTACTTTTACAAAAGGAATTTTTACAATCTATTTAGTAGTATAGTTGAAACTTTGTTATTTTTGTTGTTGTTGTTGTTGTTGATAAACTTCCCTTATAGATAAAATTCATCCCCCCTATTTAAGTATATATTTGCTTGTACTTATACATATCTATCTTTATGTGTGTGTATGTGTGTGGGAGTGAGTGAGTGACTGAGCGTTAGGTGTGTGCTGGTAACAAATGAAGTCCCAATTATAAATATTGTCATTTGAATAATGATGTAAACGATAAATAACTGTTTACTAATACTCATAAATAAATAAATAGAATTTTACCTAAGTAACTATGTTTAAATATTTTCTTTTTACATTCTCTATTAAACAATTTCACCATTAATGATAACAATGATTATAATAATAGTAAGAAAACGGGAATACATGAATTAGTGATTGTATTTCTTTTTATCCAGATAGATTGTCAATACTACTAATGAACAATGATAGTAATGATTATAATGAAATATTTTACATTATTTATTATTGTTTGTTTGTTTTTTTGACGCCATTATTTTGGAAAGTTAAAGAAGAAAAGAAGAAAAAAGAAATTTAGATAGAACTACAAAGAACACCCATTAGAACACATTGATAGTGTATATCTAGTATATCTGTAAGGCAACTAATGAATTAGTAAAATATGTAGTACTTTATTCTAATTAGACTGTGTCATTTTTCAGTTATTTAGCATATGAAAACAAAAATGATATATAGATATATATATGTTTATGTTGTGCAGTAACAATAATACTCATAGTGATAAGTAAATCTATGAAACAGAATGTACATCACCAAAAGTAACTTTGTCAGTATTCATTTATTTATCCATTTATTTATAGTATTTTTTAGTTTTTAAAGATTCATTCTGTTATATTTCCCCCATTATAAGTAATTTATTTAGGGTAATTAAAGAAATATGAAGGTTTGTCGTAAACATACACACACGTATAAGCTCACAATACAGAAAAAGAAAGATTATTTTAAGGCGCCATTTATTCGAACATGACCATTGGGAGTCAACGTCTTCACACACACACACACATACATATGTACGTACACCCCTATAAAGAGATAAGTGGTAATTAATTTGAAGCTATTTAATTTTTTTTTGTTATTATAAAAGAACATGCAACTTGAAATGTGACATAAAAAAAGAACTGAAAATAAGAAAAAAAAGTCTTATTTTCCCTATTTCTTTGTTTCTGTCTCTCCCTTTCCTCCCTCTCTCTCAAATGATCCACTCAAGTTAATTCAATAATTAAATTAGACAAAAGTGAATAACTTCTAAGATGGATTTTGATATTCTTTTTTTTAAATAAAAAAAAACGAGGAAAATTCGATTGACATAGTGAATGAATTTAAATCCTCGAATAATAATTTATAATTAGTGTTATTATTGATGTTATTGGGCACCATTCAAAAGGTAAAATAAATGTGTTTGTATGAACACGTGACATTTTGTGTCCATGTGTCGTTGAGTTGATTTATATACGCTGGTATTTACGTGTATATGTACATACATACATAGGGGTCTTCAATTCTGTCACACCGACACACGTATATACATACATACATACACATATAATGCATCAATCACAGAAACGAAATCACCTGTAGGAACAATAGATAATAAAAAATAATGGGGTTGAATAAGACACCTTCACCGTTTCCGATAGCAACAACAACATGCTGCCAAATTTTTTTTGAACAAAGATTTCTTTTTGTTAGACCGATGATTTATCACTCGAATTTATCTTTCTTAAAACAATTATTGTTTGATATTCTCTTTCTCAAAAAGGAAGGGACAATTCCATCTGAAATTAATTATTATTATTATTTTGGAAATGATTATACAAATTTCATTATGTGTATGGGGTTTTGTGTGTAGATTGGTTAGATTTGTAAGGGTTGTTGAGTTTCAGATTAACGTCAATTCAAGTACCTTTAAAAAATGTGAAATTCTAGTTTTGACTAAAATGAGTTTAGACATGTCGGTAATTAATCAAATGATATCTGATGATGATCATATGTATATCGTGAATAGAATCGAGGGTAGGAATGCCAAACTAAAGGTTTATTAATTAAATGTTCACTGCTAGAACTGAAGACTCTTAGTTCGATTTCTACAAGGGTCATGGATTCTCTCTATCAGGTGGTTCTATACTAGTATAAAACAGTTTTTCAATGTTCCCCAGTTCTGACTGATACTCCGATTGAAATTAACTTGTAACGAAAATCTCCAACAAGTTGTTTCATTCATTTGGTAATTTATATTAGATTTTGTAGGTTTATGTTTCTTGTATGTGTGTATATGTGGTCGGGCCTCAAAATGTCACATACAGAACATATTAGATAACTAACTTACCATATTATTAACATGTTCAGAATAGATGATCAATTTCTTATGTTTTTCTAATCTACGAATAGAATGATTATCGTACTATATTAGTGAATTTGTTGAATTGCAAACTGTGAGTCAGAGGATCTAAGCGTAATGGTGTAAATATAGTATATTCACGGTAAGATCTAAAGTAACTGGGTTCCTTTTAGGTTAGCAGTATTTAGCGTATACTATTGAGAAGTCCGGTACTAGGATAAAAAAAGCTATTAATTGATTTCAAGTTTTTAATGTTTGTTTAACTAAGGTCCTGCTGTAACGTAAAACAGCTAGATTCAACAATAGTTATAACTGCCTGTGCTAAAAAAATCATCTATTTATTGGTGATTAACTTAAATAGATATTTCCAAGAGAGGTAATAAGAAGCCAGGATCAGTAGACTTCAGCCATGTCGGTTGCGAATCATGTATCGCTAATGGTAATGAATGTTGATCACACAATGTCGTAAATAGATTGAATTTGGAAATGTAAATCATTTTGTAGTAACTCAGCAACCAGAAAATTAATGTATGATGTAAACCTATAAAACTCAATGATATCCACAACACTATACACTAAAGAAAATATCACAAATCTGTTTATTCAGATGAATAACTTACTTCAGTATAAAATTATTAGTTAAAGAGATTTCTTGAAAATTGGTATGGCTTGTAGGTTATATGTATCATAGATTTATTTCTATTGAGTTTACCAAAGAAGACTAATGAACAACGGACTGTTGATTTCTTCTATTATAGGATTCGTCAACAATGCACACCTTTGATCTTACCAAACATTGAATTCCTGAACTTCAGGTTTACGATGAATACGATAGTAGTATTTGATAATGATCGTACTATTCCATCAATCAATTTAAGTTATCATTATACTAGTAAATACTAACCCAATCAAACATCTATCTAGTTGTTGGTGGTTTACAATTATATCCCTAATATGAATTAGTCTGTGATGAATCCAGGATATCATTGAAAAGTACATTCATAGACGTGCACTTTTATTACTCGGTCAGGTTATTATTATTATTATTATTATTATTACTTGTAACTATGATTCTAATTAATTCTTTAATAATTCAGTAATATACGTGTAACTAAGGTCAGCAGACTATATCCTATCAATCAATTGTAAATAAATGCCAAGAAATTAAAGATTTCCATGTTTTTTCCCCTATAAAACAATAATCATTTATCAGTTCATAATTAAATTATCCGTAACAGTAAACAAGAAATTATTGATTGTTAAAGGTGTAATAAATACATGACAATAACAGTACTAGAGTGAACAAGAAAAACATTATGAGAATATAGTGTTTACATGATCAAGCATACAGACTGAGAATGTATATCTTAAATGATTATATAGTTACTATTAATGCTATTTTTCTTGATTATTAATAACCTTTCTATAAACAAGATAATACAAATTGGATAATAAGAAAAATATATATATACGATAACAAACTTATTCTGAGTAGTTAGGTTGACAGGCCAACATTGACTGATTACTATCTTGAGTGATAAGCAATATATATAGATAGATAGATATCACTGAAAATTGAATATTGAAAGTGTTAATACGTTTAAACAAGAACAAATATGACACAGATTATACTTTCATTCATATATACATTCATTTTCCATTGGTTTCAAATGACTAGCTCATATTTTTGTTTTGCAAGTATTCAACAACAACAACAACAACAACAACATTTTTTTCTTCAACTTTTATTTTCTCTCTTTATCTCTCACACACACTCTCTCTCTCTATTTCAACTATCTCTGTCGCTCATTTACCCACTGGTTATAAACACTCAATTTTAATATATCTTTCTTTAAAAAACAAAGAATGAAATAAAGTTTATTACTATTACCATTACCATTATTATTATTATTATTATTATTATTATTTGACTGGCATTTAAATTGTTAAATTGATGGACAATACCATATAATTTTACAACACTGAGAAATAACAAGCAATTGATACATAGATAGATAGATAGGTATACATGATAAATAATGAAAAAAAAGAGAAAAAAAAAGAACATAGAAAGAAGTTGAGAACAAGACAGAGTGATAAAAATACACACATATTTCTTGCTTCAATACCTGGTTAATTGTGATTTATCTACATACATACCTACATACATATATACATACATACATATTAATATCCGTAGAGTACTTATGTATGGTTACACTCTTAAGAACTCTTACACACATACAAAAATGTAATTATTATTATTAATAACATGACTGCATACTTTGTTAGTTATTATTTTGATTTAATTATTTATTGAATTAATTATTAGTTGTTAGTTATTAGTTATTAAATAGTAAAATTATTTTTATTACCCTTTAATTGATAGATAAATTTTGATATCCTATTGATTGAATATCAAGGTCAAGTAAGATTCATAGATTCGTCAAAGATATAGATATAGGCCTTATCATTAGTGTATTTATCATAAGATCAACCTCACCATGATAAATGTCATTAGAAATAACTGTCAAAACAATAATATTCATATAACTATATAATTGATAGTTATTGTTGGATAATTATTACTTATCATGACAAATTAAATTCAACTGTCATTTATTATAATGTTAACTGAATGAAAACATGATAGTATAATATATATTACATTAATTTAAAGACGATTTTTATCGATTATTTATTATATTTAAACACATAAATATATTGGTACAAGGAGGCATCAAATAGATATGCGCTACATAAATCGTATGATTTATGTGACGGCTAGGATACTGCCCAGGTTCACAAACCGAAGCAGGTGCCTTCGACCTAAAGGTCTAATCCACAAGACAGTGGAGCAACGTTAGGAGAAGCAGTCCCATGGTGGCCGGTGACCAACAATGTGCTCATACGCCATTTGTTCCTTCGGGATACTGGAGCCCATTTGCACCATTGGTTTGGAATCGGGATTTTCCAACTCATGTAGGTAGATCCTCCGTATGCATCAACCTGGTTAAAACGCCAGACATTCGCTTTTCGTCCTCTCAATTTCGTAAACAACAGTAATGCCGGGAGAAGGCAGTGAGTGGGACTTTCCTGGCAGTGTTTGTATGCACATGGCCATGTGAGAACATTTCGAGAGGGAGAGTTGACTCTACCCATTCTCGGCCGTACCAGGACTTTTGGAGGCAAATTACAATTGAGAAATGGATAAAATATTTCAATATATGAAGATGAAAAATACTTAACCATATCTATAAAATCCAAGTTTTAATGTTATGTAACAATTTAATGGGATAGTTTATAGAAAATTTGGCTTCATTATATACTTCGAGTTAGACTGTTCAATAGCAAAGTTTTCATTATCGTTCTGGATAATATTATCAATGGTTACTTTATATAGAAATGTGTTCTACAAGTTCGTTCTGATAATCTTGTTTGTGATTGGTTGTCTTCGTTTGTTTTTGCGCTGTTGTTAACTGTTTTATTCGACTAACCTCTAATCACATTGTTGATGGATTGACTATATTTGCACGTTGTTGATAATCTGAATATACCTCGATTCGTCTATTGACTGTAAAATGATGTAAATGTTATGTTTCTGGCAATGTTCTGGTAATTTCAGAATTCTGTCGATCCAGAATTTCGATATTTTCTCAAATAAATTCGCATTCATGATCCTCAACTATCATTTATTATTAGTGAAGATATCTCATTCCATTTCATTGTTAACTTATGTTTGTTTGTGTGTGTGTGTGTGTGTAGATGATGAAAGTGTCCACGATATTCAATTTAATATTTCTCTCAGATATGTAATGTTGGATTTGCCTTCTTTTCTGATTGTATCTTTTAGACGATATTAAGATTCGGATGAAGTGTTTTCGTTTATTTGTGGCGGATGTTCATTTTAAAACATTTCAGTGATATTCTTATAATGTAGTGCAAAACGATTTGCTTATTGATACCTGAAACTGATTTCCCAGTGGTCAAAGTTAATGAACTATACACCATTTAATAAAGTCGTTAAGATAATCATCATAACAAAAACAGAAAAGGAGTATTTTAAATTTTCTACTAAATGGTGTTTAGCTCTTTTAAATAGTTCTACAGTTTAGATCACGAGTTCATATTGGCTATTCCATAACTGAATATCAAGTTCTTCATATTTTATTATGACTGTAGTTGATTCAACACCGAAAGGGTAGCGAATGCTTAATAGAATGGATCTCATCACTAGAATAAAATAACTGTCCAATACTTCCTAGTTTTCAACAATTCAAGGTCAATATGTGATATAACTTATGAAACATAACAATCTCCTCAATCATGTTGAATCTTTTTGAATAGTGTATTTCTTTATCAGCAACACAATCATCATCATCATCATCATCATCATCATCATCATCATCATCATCATCATCATCATCATCATCATCATCATCATCATCATCATCATCATCATCATCATCATCATCATCATCATCATCATCATCATCATCATCATCATCATCATCATCATCATCATCATCATCATCATCATCATCATCATCATCATCATCATCATCATCATCATCATCATCATCATCATCATCATCATCATCATCATCATCATCATCATCATCATCATCATCATCATCATCATCATCATCATCATCATCATCATCATCATCATCATCATCATCATCATCATCATCATCATCATCATCATCATCATCATCATCATCATCATCATCATCATCATCATCATCATCATCATCATCATCATCATCATCATCATCATCATCATCATCATCATCATCATCATCATCATCATCATCATCATCATCATCATCATCATCATCATCATCATCATCATCATCATCATCATCATCATCATCATCATCATCATCATCATCATCATCATCATCATCATCATCATCATCATCATCATCATCATCATCATCATCATCATCATCATCATCATCATCATCATCATCATCATCATCATCATCATCATCATCATCATCATCATCATCATCATCATCATCATCATCATCATCATCATCATCATCATCATCATCATCATCATCATCATCATCATCATCATCATCATCATCATCATCATCATCATCATCATCATCATCATCATCATCATCATCATCATCATCATCATCATCATCATCATCATCATCATCATCATCATCATCATCATCATCATCATCATCATCATCATCATCATCATCATCATCATCATCATCATCATCATCATCATCATCATCATCATCATCATCATCATCATCATCATCATCATCATCATCATCATCATCATCATCATCATCATCATCATCATCATCATCATCATCATCATCATCATCATCATCATCATCATCATCATCATCATCATCATCATCATCATCATCATCATCATCATCATCATCATCATCATCATCATCATCATCATCATCATCATCATCATCACGCCTTAGATATCACAAAAACAGAAAACGTTACAATCTTTTACATGATGTAACAATGAAAACTTGTACACTAACCAAACAGGTCAAAATGTGCATTTATTTAATAAAAAATAATAATAACTTTATAATGATGAATATATATATATATACCTTTTTTGAATACTACCATGTGTTTGTACTTATAAATGTGTTATTGTCTATTTATCTGTTACCAGATAATTACTAAACAATGTATCAATCTGTGTATGTACCATATGTGCTATATGTACATCTTTGCATTATACAATTAATTAGTTACTATGTAGTTGAATATAGATAAATATCTATTTATTGAATAAAATATATTATTTCACAGAAAGAAAGAAAAAAAAAAGAAAAAATGAGGAAACATCGCCTTTATAGTTATAATTTAACTATAATTAAACAAATTGGCCTGTAGACTTACATATTGTATGATTGAATATTTACTTATCTTATAATGATTGTAATCGTATAAGAGTTTAAAAGAAATTTCATTACAGCTTGTACTGTACATGAATATGAAAACATATTCTATCATTTTCTTAAAGTTACCATACTGTGAATCAGTCATAAGTAAAATAGAATCGGGCATATATATATACACATTGATTTTAGTTGCTATACATCATGACATAGTCAATCATTTGTGGATCGCTTCTTATTTTAACCGTTGTTATGTGAAAATTATTATTATTATTTTTTGATTAACACTAGTTGCTGAGGTAAGGAAAAGGTAAGGAAAACGACACATAATGGTTTAATTGGTTTGGTTAAGAAAGTTGCCCGTTTTTTTGTTGTTGTTTTTGTCTTCTCACACACTCAGGTTCTTTATTCATAGCCTAGATCAATGTTGGCTATATGGTATTAAGAAAAAAGTTAAATCATATATACGTATGTCTTCTTCTAGAATTGCGGTAAGCTATTTTAAATGAGTTAGTGAATATCAGGCATGATGTGAAAATTTTTCACAAATTTATTTAAATATATGTTACAATCAGTTGATGATAATGTCCTTTACTAAACTGACCTTGCATAAGTAAATTTAGACGAATCATAAATTGATCGAGATCTTGAACCGATTGATGTTAGATCATCATTGAAAACCTGAGGAGTCTGACAATAGGATGAAACGACCATTTAGTGCTTCGAGGTTTTAGATGATGGTCTAACATCAATCAGTTCAATATCTAGATTAGTTACTTAGTAACCTCCACAACCCTATACTGATAATTACCATGCACTCACTAGTGACTAATTTCATGAGGGAATTCTCGGAGTTCTAGTGAGAAGCCGTGACCAGATACAGGTATCTACTTCAGTACAATGCAAGATGGTCGCACAATTTCGTGGATTGGTTGAGGTTATACATTAAAACCGTTGGATACCGACTCAGTGGTCAAGTAGGTTAAGTGTTCGCGCCCTGTTTTTGAATCTCTCAAGTAGGACCGTCGATGCTAACTGCTGAGGAGTCGCACAATAGGATGAAACGGCCATCCAATGTTTCCAGGTTTTCAATGGTGGTTTAACATCAATTGGTTCAAGATCTCAATCAATAACTCAATAATCTCCACAACCCAATGCTGAGAATCAGAAATTAGCATTCTATTAATCGTTATTTATTAAATTTGAATGTGACCATTATTGAAAATGTAATAACTATTACAGTTTCAAATATTTGTGCTTGAAAATAATATAAACCGGACAGAAATACTTGTGATTCATTTATGTCAATTATTTTCTAAAGGTAAAAGAAAATTCACACGAAAGGATTAAATTAGGTGTTAAACTTGAAATATATAAATAAAACAGTCATTTTAGAGTAATTATATAACTGAAACTTATGAACATCATAGATTCAATTCTTAGAGGGAGCAACGACATTAATTCATCTTATAAAACAAATAACAAAATGGTTAAATCTATTAAGGTTTCATGTGGTTTAAGCAAATGACAAAATGAAGAATAAACAGTTAATATCATCCTTTCTTTCACAGAAAACTAAGATATCATCTTCATATATCTAGGAAGGGAAGCTGATTGTTCTTCTCATGAAAGACCGATGTGATATGTGAGGATATGAACTGTTTATTGAATAAATTTAACACTCTCCAAAACCACATCAGTCTCTCATATGAAGAAGAGAAGAACAATCACCTTCCCTTTCTAGATATATGTGAATGATATCTTAGTTGTTTGTGAAAGAAAGAAGGATATGAACTGTTTATTGAATAAAATAAAGAATATTTTGATAGTAAAGTGACTACTGTCTCTTTTTAAAAATTATTATTATCAAAGTTAATTGCTATATATGGGCTTACATTCTTTCTTCCTTTCAATATCTCTCTTTCATTACTTATGCTATGACTAATTACATACAACTGAAAACATATTCGAATGTAAACTGTGAGAGTGAAACATGCTTTATCTAATGACTTCATATACACTTCGAGTTTCTGAATAAACAAAAAAACCCATTCTTTAATCATGTTGATCATTGAAGACTTGTTCAATTTTAAAGACCAATCGGTCAATAGTCAATGTACAATGGTCTTGTAATTTTTGGACTACTGAGTTGAAATTAATCAAAATATTAAATTGATATGAACATTTGTATTTAAGTCCATTTAAATGTGTATAGATTTATTCAAGATGACATATTTATGATCACATTTGGTTACATATGTATGTTAATGTGTACGAAATGAGGAGGGAAAGGGGAACAGAAAACGTGTTATTTTATTATCCATGTTTAATGTGTCTAGTATTTCTAAGTGGCCAAGAAAAGTGTAGTTTAATTATTCACTTGGTATTGTTTTACTTGAATCTTCCCATTGATGTTTTAGGACTGAAATTGATCAGTCTCTTATTGGCATATGTGCACTGCTAGCCACTATCTATCTTTGCTTATAATGCTTGTAAATTAAGGCAATATCGAGGCATACGCACAGTATGCACACATGCCAATAAGAGACTGATCAATTTCAGTCCTAAAACATCAATGGGAAGATTGAAGTAAAACAATACCAAGTGAATTAAACTTCACCCCATTGCATAAGCAAGTGGCTATCAGGACTCAGTAGCTAAGTGGATAACGCAATGGCGTTTGAAGCGAACGGTACTGAGTTCAAGTCCCAGAGTGAACATTAACTCTGAGATGCAGGTACATCCAGCTGACGAGTTTCAAACAGGACGAAACGCGCGTCCTGGATTCCACTGCCAGCCACTATCCATCTTTGCTTAGGTAGTTTAATTATGTTTAAATTTTACAGTACCCTAATGAATATGCATTTTTAGTGTTCGATGAATCATTTTAAAATAGTTTATTACGTAAGAAGTTTACGACAGTTTCTTATAATGTACAATCTTTTTTTAATGACCTATAATATCGTTATCAATGATTAAGTATTTCTTCTGAGATTTAATTTCCCTCTAGTCTTAGTAACTAACATGAACTGTACCGTAGAATGATCACAGAATGTGTATGTTATATTCAATACTGATTGATCTCAATTATATGTACCAGTGAGTTACATACTAAAACGAACGAGATATCCAAAACTCCCTGTTTTTCGATATGATATGCGGCTAGTGAAAGTAAATGTTGTGAGTGGCTACTGAGCGTGAACTGGGAGACACACAGCTTACTGACTATTCAATGTGTGATTTCCTTTCTATTAGTAATTTTTACTTTGGACTCACTGCTTGTAATTGTGTTGATTAGTGTTGTCTAATAGATACACTGGTTCCCTATTTTTGGTTATGAATTATGTATCTGATATATTATGACCCCAATCTGTGTATGGTGTATCAATCGGATATCCAGTCTAGTGGTAATATAGTCTGTGTCATCAGTCCCATTATCTTTTAATACTAGTATTATTGCAATGAACGAGAACGCGGAATAACAGAGTAGCTCAATAAAATATAAAAATCATACACTGAATACATCACTTGCGCATCTTCCTTCAGTTGTCTTTAACTGCTTCATGATTCCTTCAATTCTGTTGTTAGTACAATTTTTCGGTCTCCCTTCTTGTTCTATTCAATTCAATCTCTTCAATCTACTTCCGATTGCTGCTACATACTATTTTAATCTGTCAGAATAAATAGCATGAATTACAGTATGCTGTGCAAACGCGGAAATATTTCTACTCAGTCTCTATATCACAATGGTGTCCGAAGTGTGATCAATCTGTGACGAATACAATCTAGAAATTAAACTAACCTCTATAAAAATTCTTCAATTAAACTACAAAATTGTTGTCTTTCATTTTTAATAGTACGTGAAAATACTAAGCTAACCAATAATAGAAGAAATGAGTCAGCTGGCGATTGTTACAATCGAACAAAAATTGTCTGACGTTGTAAAATATGTCTGAATAGTGTTTCGAATACTTTGACATGGGATCTAAATGTATCTTTTGGTTCTAACCTTTATAAGGTAATGTTTTTACAGATCACTGATTAATCCAGTAATCCAATAATTTAATAATTGAATTCATGAGTCCATTAAAGCTAGACCACCATTGAAGACCTAGAAGTACTGGATGGCCATTTCGTCCCAGCATGGGACTCCTCAGTAGTGTGTAGCCATGATCTTGCACGCGGGATTCGACCCTAGGATCTTTCGGTTTTGTGCACAAGCGTTAGAAAACTATTGTTAAATGTTCATATAAATTATCTTGATCCAAAATTGACCCATTAGCATTACATAGATTTGATTGTACTCCGCATACATGATCTTTAAAACGATTAAGGATCTTTACATAAAAAGCAAAATATTTTGTTTTCTGTAGTAAGAAGTCAATGAATTGCATCAATAGTATTGCGTATATATAAATATTACTATTTAAAGTCACTTTGATTGATAAATAGATTAGAGAAATGGTTAATAAGAAAACCTAATTGAAGGTACATAGAAATCAATTCCTTCATGTTATTTCCATTCTCTCTCATACACTCTTGTTTCTTATTTCCCCTAATGTAAACTATTATCGTCAATATCACAGTAGACATTTGTAGACGTGTATAAAAAGTCTCTCTC